GCCTTGGAGGAGGCGGAACTCCTGTCTCCAAGGAAGAGAACCCTTGAGGGGACGTTAGGTCAGGGCACCCAAGTTGCAGGTTCAGACTTTCACAGGTGTTAGGTCCCTAGGGGAGTTGGCAGAGGGAAGCTTTTGGGGGAACTTACAGCAATGGGGTTCACCAAAATATACCCGAGGTGCTGCCCAAGGAAAGACAATGGCTTCCTATGGCCACTGTAAACTCAACTTTTCTGCAAAAGTCTATTTGGGAGGAGAATGAGCTAAATACTTAGGTGGGTATTTACTTCCAGTGGTATATACTTCACTGCTCTTTCTGGAAGAATATGTGAAGAGTTTCTGTGCAAATGCCTTTTAAAAAGCTGACCAAGATTCTCCTGGTGGCACTGGAAGAGGCCAGCAAAAGAAGTCAAAATTTTGGGAAGTCACAATTCTTCCCAACCATCCTCATGACACAAGCGGAAAATAGTAATATTTGTATGGCACACTGGATTGTATATATTAGGGAGTAAATTGAGCTGATATAATAAAGATCCSAAAATACAGTGACCTGAATAACACATCTTTATTCCTCCCTCACGTAACGGGTGGGCAGTCCCCAGCTGGTAAGATAGCCTTGCCCTCCTGAATWAATGTTTTTCATCTTTCGGGCAAGAAGGTTCTTAAAATTCTCATATCCAAGCCAACACCGCAGGGAGGGCAGCAGAAGCAGAAACAATACTTCCTAGAGTTGCAACCCAGGATATTATCAAGAAAGTAAAAAGATAACCTACAGAAATGGGAGGAAAAAAATCTTAAATCTAAGTACAGGATGAGGATTTAATATCTAATTCATATTAAGGATTCTTTATGACTGAACAAGGCAAACAGCCAAATTAAAATTTGAGCAAAGAACTGGACTAGACATTTCTCCAAAGAAGATATACAATGTCCAACAAGCATATGAAAAGATGTTTAACTCGTTAATCTTTAGGAAATGCAAATCAAAACCACAGGTATCATTTCACATATAATAGGATGGCTATGATTTTTTAAAAGGAAAGTGAAGTGTTATTGATGTAGAGAATTGGAAATCATCACATCACACAGAGAGCTCTGAGAAACTTCAGGTTTGAACAGAAGGGCCTAGGACTATTGTTTGGGATTCAACCCATATACAAGGGATGAATTCACAGTTTTATCTCCCATTAGCACCTATCTCTCAGACCATTCAATTTCCTGTGCTTGATTTTATCATTAGTAATTTCTGTGTTAACTCTTTGTATATGTTACATTCTTTGAAGAAATTCTCACAAAATCTTAAAAGGCTGGAATTATTCTGGTTGTTCAGATGACTAAACTGTGCCTGAAAGAAAGAAAATCACTTCCAAGTTCTCCTAACCTAAAAGGTTAMCACTATACATAGGTCTTATTCCAAAGCCCATACTTAGGCCAATAATCAAAAAAACAGATACTTCCACTGCTATTTCTGGAAGAATATGTGAAGAGTTTCTGTGAAAATACCTTTTAAAATGCTGACCAAGAAGGTAACTCATACTCCTTATCACTGAAGTACAGGAAATCATCTCATGGCTTCGAAGAATTTTATCCACCATCTAATCTATTATCCCTTGTTTTGAGCTCTATGAATAAAGAAGAAAATCTTATTAGATATAGCAAATTGATGTGTAAGTAGACACTAGAAATCAATGTGGAAGCATTTAGTCCAGCTGTCTCTAAAAAGGGTTAGGTCAAAATGGCAGCAAATTTGTTAAAAATCCCTGCACAGTCCTACCATTCAAATATAGGAGCTGCTAAAAGGGCCCAGGAGTGCTGGAGATGTAGCTCAGGGGTAGAGTGCTTATCTAGCATACACAAAGCCAAGGGTTCAATCCCCAGTACCACATGTACACAGTACAGCATAAGGGACCAAGACTTTATGGAAAATAATAAACTACACAAAGTTTTGCATTGTTTTCTTAGAAAAAGTGATCTGAAATACKTTGAAAAGAAAAAATCTTCTGTATGAGGGAGATAGCATATGTCATGCATGTGAAGAAATGTAGTCACACTTCCTTGGGGCTCATTTACAGTTACTTGAACCAATTTTAAGTTATCAGTTGTCAAACAGTCATTTAAAAAATGTTTAGATGTTGATGGACCTTCATTTTATTCATTTATTTATATGCAGTGCTCAGAATTAAACCCAGCAGGCACTCTGCCACTGAGCTACAGCCCCTAAGCCAGATATTTTACTGAGAGAAAAAAAAATTTTCCTATTTTATGGGGAAACTCCTATTTCTAATTTTATATCTTCTTGTTCTTTCCAAACCTAAATTCTTCATGAATTTGGATGGGAAACACTGAGAATGGGTCCAGAAAAACAAATTATTGCCAGAGAGTAAGAATCCATGCCAAGATATCAAGCACTGCTGAGGAAGGAATCATTTTCCTCAATGTGACCAAGAGTTTCTATGTCCTGACAATTTAGCATCAAAAGTATATCCAATTAAATAAAAGTTGTTATGATTGTGAAAGGTCACACATTCATCTGACTCAAAATAAAAATGTTGGGCTGGGGTTATGGCTCAGTGGTAAATCGCTTGCCCAGCATGTGTGAAGCACTGGGTTCAATTCTCAGCACTGCATATAAATAAAYGAATAAAATAAAGGTCCATCAACAACTAAAAATGTATTAAAAATTAAATAAAAAATAAAAATGTTAAAATGCAATATTCAAATACCTAGACATAATAAAAGCATGAAGTTAGCAGAATATTAAAAATACAAAAATACATCTATGTATATAAACACCAATATGAATTTCCTTTACATTAATTTTATAAGGTATATAAATATGTCTACATATGTGTCTAGATACATAGTGTGGACATATGGGTCTATTATCTGTTTCAGGTCTTAACTCCTAAGTCAACTTCATATAATACTCACATAAACACAAATTTCAGAGGATCCTAATAGCAATCACATACTAATAAAGCATAAATTTCCACTGATGCCAAAAGATGAAGTTAATGTATCAACATGAGATAATAAGAATAATAGTTGCAGATAAACAAAATTTGTACCTCATGATGAAGAGAAACTTCTGATTACAACATACAAACACCTATGCTAAAAAGGCAGGTAAAAAAAAATTTAGCCGCATTATAAGTGAAGTTCAGCTGTAGAAACAAAAGGTTAACCAGAGGCTTGGGTTTATGYCACCTCTGAATAAGAAATCAGCTGCCACACTTAGACCAAAAATCAGTGAATAATTCAGACTCTTCACTGGTTGGAGTCATTATTCTTTTTTCTTAAAGCCTGATAATATAATTGTACACCCTGGGAAATTTTCCAAAATAAGTTACTACTCAATACTTAAAAATTATTAAGTATTCAAAAAATAAGTATTCCTGTACCTCTAGGAAATAGAAAACAGACAAATGACATGAATTAAACATAAGATATTAATCCATTTTAGGTTAGATATAAGTTGGGCAATGCTTAATAATCATACTTGTTTCTGTTTAAGGTCTGAATTACTGAATCATACTAAATCTGTAATTTATGTTGTATAAAGTGAAATTATCAGTAAGAAAATTAATTTTCTGAATTTGGAATATGTATAAATTGACTGTTAAATTGTAAAAATATTAATCAGTTTCACTCCATGCCATGCACATATATAAATCTTCCATTCTTGCTTGATGTCTGTTCTAATCTTTTTTTTAAATATAAATATTCTTTTACAGATTCTAAATGGTTCCAACTGCTCAAAATAACTAAGTTCCCATTTCACCAAAGTTTGTTTCCCTATGTACATTAAGATACAACATGAGGACTGGGGTTGTACTCAGTGGAAGTGAGCTTGCCTAGCATGTGTGAGGCACTGGCTTTGATTTTCAGTACAACATATAAATAAATAAAAGCCCATCAAAAACTAAAAAATATTTTTAAAAAAGATATAACATGAATATATTATCTCATATACTCATCCTCCCCAACACTCTGAAGAATAGTAATGATTTGTTGTCTAAAAGTTTTAGGCATCAAATGCTTAAGTCTTATCATTTGTTGAAAATGGCTCATTCTTTCTGTCATTTCAAAGAAGTTATCTATAAATCAAGGTTACAACCCACCCACAAACAATCCCCTTTTATAATGCTACCATATCATATTCTGTCCATAGCATGTTTAAACCCATACTGAAAGAAGAAAATCAAGTAATTCCCTTAAGATGGGAGTCATTCATTCAATCGATGGATTCATAATTCTCTTAGATTCTGGTCTTTCTTTACAGGCCTATGTTGAGTCATTTCTACAAACTATTTTAACTCCTTTATGGAAAGCCTATTAAGGAATTTTAAAGTTTTCACCCTTTTTGTGAAAAAGACTATTATCCACTAAATTTTTAATTTTTTTAATTGTCAATCTTTTTTTTTTTTTAACATGGTRCTGAGGATCGCTCGAACCCAGGGACTCAAACATTCCAAAAAAGAGSCATACCATTGAGCTACAACTCCAGCTTCACATTAAATTTTTATCAACAAATTTTAACAATTATCTCAGCTTACAGAAGGTTGTGTACTCAATTTTCACATAATTGTTATATGATGTTTCTCCTTTGGATAAGCCCTATATTTTTTCTTGAACTGTGAATTAATCCCAGAGGTGCATTACCACTGAGCTTCATCCCTAGCCCTTTCTCTTTTATTTTGAAACAGGCTCTCCCTAAGTTGCTGAGGCCAGCCTTGAACTTTCAATCCTTTGCCTCCTAAATCCCTGGGATTATAGGAATGTGCCATTGTGCCTGGCTTATGCCATATAAAAGATTAAGTATTACAAACATAGGGTATATGAGTTGGTATTCTAATTCCAAGAGGCAAAAATCTAATTCAAATTACCATAAGCAAAAAAAAAAGGAAATTTATTGAATCATGAAAACAAAAGTAAAGGATGTGCAGTCAACATGTATGACTGGTTCCAGATCAAACAATGTCATCAGATTTCTGTTTCTCATGTCCATTTTCCTCTATTAGAAATYTCTTTGGGAAGGCTTTCCACATGGGATGGCAAAGGCTACTGGTGAGTTTTTAACCCCATTAAATCCTCAAAGCTTGAAATTCCAAAAATAGAAATTATCTTTTTTACTACTCTTAACAATACTTCAAGGACTGTATTGGTCCAGAAGGGGCTATTTTATTAATAGCTAGGTTGAGGGGAAATAATTGGTCAGCCTGTGACCAATCTACTGCTGTCCTTGAATAACAGTTTCATCAGAATCATAAGCATTGAGGGTGGGGTACTGAGCAGGGGAGAAAGTCTACTACTCYAGTCATTTCAAATAATGGATGATGGTGAACTAAAGGCTTTTTCATATGGACTACATAGTAGACTTTACTAATCAAACAGAATTCACTGATATTCGATAAGGACTGGATGGTGACTAAATGATTTCTTTCCTATATTTGTTATTATCATAGTGTTTCTCTATTATGAATTCGCTGATGTCGTCTGAGAGCTGAGGCACAGCTAAAATTATCCTCACATTCATGACATTTATAGGGTTTCTCTCCAGCATGAATTCTCTGGTGTAGTCTAAGGGACAAGATCTGATGGAAAGCCTTCCCACATTCATCACATTCATAGGGTTTCTCTCCTGTATGAACTCTCTGGTGTTGGTTAAGGTAGGAGCCACAACTGAAGGCCTTCCCACATTTGCTACATTCATAGGGTTTCTCTCCTGCATGGCTTCTCTTATGGTGAATTAGAACTAAAGCATCACTGAAGGCTTTCCCACATTTACTGCATTCAAATGGTCTCTCTCCAGTATGAATTCTATGATGTCGATTAAGCTGTGAGTCAGTCCTGAAAAACTTGCCACACTTGATGCACTCATAGGGCTTTTCTCCGGTATGAATTCTCTGATGTTGATTAAGGTGTGAGCGATAGCCAAAAGTCTTCCCACACTCATTACATTTGAAGGGTTTCTCTCCTGTGTGAATTCTTTGATGAAGAGTGAGGGCTATGCGTCTGCTGAAGGCCTTTCCRCACTGATTACATTCATAGGGTTTCTCTCCAGTGTGAATCCTCTGGTGCTGATTAAGGTGTGCACTCTGTCTGAAGGCTTTGTTACACTCCTTACATTCATATGGTTTCTCTCCTGTGTGAATTCGCTGATGTTCAACAAGGAAGGCATAACGGCTAAAGGCCTTCCCACATTCATTGCATGCAAAGGGTTTCTCTCCCGTGTGGATTCTCTGGTGCTGAGCCAGGTGAGCGCTCTGCCTGAAGGCTTTGTTACATTCTTTACATTCATATGGCTTCTCTCCAATATGAGTTCTTTGGTGTTCACTGAGAAAGAAGTCATGGCTAAAGGCTTTCCCACAGTCATTGCATGCACATGCTTTCTCTCCACTGTGAATTCTCTGAGGTTGATTAAAGAATGAGTAACAGCTTAAGACTTCACCACATTCATCATATTCATGGGGTAATTTTCCAAAATGATTACGTTGAGTTGGATGTTCAGTAAATAATGAGTGGATACTTAAGAAATTTGAAAAATTATTAGTTTTATAAGGTTTCTCACCAGAAGGAATTCGTGTATCTTTATTAAAGTGAGTAATTTGATTCAATTCTTCATATTCATTACCTGTCAAAGATTCCTTCTTAGCATGGAGTCTTTCATATTCAATTATAACTGAATTTTGGGTGAAGAATTTATCATATATATCAAATTTATGGGCTTGTTTTACTGTGGGAATTCTCTGTTGTGCTAACAGTACTGACTTCAGGGGGAGGCTTCTCCCAGAATAATTATATTCATTGTGTCTTTTCCCAGTAGAGATGTCCTTAAGAGTTGTCATTTGCCTGAAATGGCTCTCCTGATTTCTCCGATACCACTCAAACCCCTCATATTTCCAGCCTTCTCTGAAACTGCAGCATTCAAGGCCATGACTTGTGAGTCTTTCTGTTACCATGCACTGGGATATTTCTTCCTCATCAATGAACAATTTTGGAGACAATTCCTTCATTTCACACCATGACTCCCAGTCTGAAAAATATCAAGAAAATAAATGTCTTCTTTTTTTCACTTTTCTAGGAGAAAGGAACCTTTAGGGAAAATTTAATTGAGGGAAAAGAAGGAATAAAGTACATGGTTCTAGCATCTCCCAAATATGGCCATGCAATATGAACAAAATACAAAGAATAAAGAGGTTGATCAAAGACAGCATATGTGTTGGGGAGGTAGTGATAGCAAATCAGGTACAAAGTAGGGCATAAGAGGCAGACAAAGCTAAATGCCAGAAAGGTAAGGAATTGAGGATGACTGATTAAGTCTTTTTTAATATTTATTTTGTAGTTGTAGTTGGACACAATACCTTTATTTTCCTTATTTTTTAAATATTTTTTTTCACTTATTTATTTTTTGCTGAGGATCAAACCCAGGGTCTCCCATGGCGAAGAGAGTACTCTACTGGTGAACCACAGCCCCAGCCCTGATTAAGCCTTGCTTGTTTTCTCTGCCTCTAGTCTTTAAAGACTCCAGTCCACCCTGCACTGATATTCATATGACTGAAAGTTCCACGAGGGTATGGACTTATATTTATTCCTTTTTCTTCTTATGGTGGCATATCATGCCTGGAGCAATGACATCTTGATGAATGGATGCTGCTAGATTAATATCTTGTAATATTTTCCACTAATGCTGCCCAAAAACTTCTAAGATTTTACCAGGGTCCAGAGGAAAATTATTGTTGTTTTCTAAAGTATCTAGAAGAAATAAGATTATCAGTTTTTCTCATCAAGAGAAAAATGATGCCTGCCAAGTAGACAATACTTTCAGGAAAGGATCTTGGTTGAACCAAGGTGAAAGGAAAGCTTTTCTAAAAAATCACCTCAAAAAAGAGGAAAATAAGAAAATCCTTTTAATTTAATTTAATTTTAATTAACTTAATTTTAATTTAATTTAATTTTAGACAATATATTAAATATACAGAATCTATGACTATATGCCTAGGACCTAGTAGAGGGGAAAAAAGTCTGAGATAGTGTCCTCCCTTTTATAAACTCTAAAAAGAGAGATAAAACTTGTGCATACAATGATTCAACATGATACATAATGCAAGACTAGCTAATATGAGATAGATCATCATTAGAATAGATGTTAAGAAAAAAAGACATCAGAATTCACTAAAGAATAATTTCTGGAGGCTATAGCTTGGTTTTCAAGGTTATGATCAGACTTCTAAAATATGACAACTATTTTACTAACTGAGCCATTTTCAAATTAGGATATAATGTAGGATTATTTTAGAACTGCACATATTAGCATGTTGGGGTTAATGAGATGAACTCTCCCCCAAAACAGTTTCCCATCTGTTGAAAAGGAAATCTTCCTCCAGACTATGGAAGCACAAAACTGAAAGTCAAAAAATAGAAGATGTCTGTGTCTGCATCTTCCTTCTTTCCAACACATCCACCACCCAGGAAAAGCCCCCAACCTCGTCAGTTCTCCTGTGCACAGCCTTGGATCCTCTCCTACATGGGCCCCTATATAAGCCCAGGCCTGAGAGGGCTTTGCTCACTTATTTTCCTGTAGGTACTTAACGTTGTTCATTCTTTCTTCATTCTTTCTTTTTGTTCGCTTACCCATTCTCCCAGACTTCCTGTCCTGTTATAGGAGAGCAATGTCCAAGCCCATTATATTCCTTCTTACCAATAACAAATTTTACTCCAGACAAATTTATAAAATAAAAATGTTTATACAATGTCTAAATGTAATGCCAAGTAAAAGAAGCCTAAAGGGAGAAGACTACAGGTATTTTTCAACCTGGGAGATTCTGAGGTGCCTAGAACTCCAACCACTTAAAAAAAGGCATATGAATACTGAAAGGGAATGAATTCCTCATGGGAGAATGTCCTGGGGAAAGTAGAGAGCAGGAAATAATAATTGTATGTGTGGAAGACATATTCACTTTGATGGAGTAGAGAAATACTTAGGAGCCAATGATGTCATAATAGCATTTARCAAAAAAGAAAAGGAAATTCACCTACATCAGTAACTGAGGAGAAAAAGGAAATATGGTTTCAGGTAAAATGGAAAAGAATCAAATGGACACCCATGTGGCACAGTAAAACAACACACTCTTTGGGGCCAGACAAGGATGGGATTGAATCCTATCTCTGTATCTAGGTAGCTACCCTCAACAAACTGATTAACCTACTTCTTGAGTCTCAGTTTTCTATTTGACAAAATGAAGTTACCTTGCAAGAATGATAAGAGAACAAGAATATTTATAACACATCCACCAGCGTTGGGCTTATTACAGATACTTAGTGATACTTATCATAAAATAATTCAGTACTCAGTAACTCTTGTACCCACATCACTAGTAGACTCAGATATTATTATTACATCAATGTTTGAATAGGGATTATGCAACAGGCTGTCAAGTGACAAGACAAAAAATAGGAAAAGTAAACTCTTTAGGGTTAAAATGAATCCAGGCAATGTTATTGATATTAGAGATATGTAATTCCCAGCTAGTTATATTGTATAACTGGATGGAAGTTAGAATCACAGTATGATCAACTTTGGAATCCAATTAGAACCATACAGTAAGTAGGCTGATCTAAGACATTAGAAGAGGAAAAGTTCTTACTATATCATGGACCTAGTCTCCCATATGCTGATCTGGTGGACAACAGACAAACTGATATACAGCCAGCCCTCTGTATCTGCAGGTTGCACATCCATGGATTCAATTAACTGTGGATTGAAATATTAGAAAAAATGTATTTGTACTAAACATTCGTAGACATTTTTGACATTGTTTGCCAAACAATATACTCCAACAACTATTTACATAGCATTATATTGTATTAGGCATTATAAGTAATATAGAGATGATTCAAATTATAYGAGGATATGCATAAGTGATATGCAAATACTATATAATTTTATATAAAGGATTTGAGTTTCCATGTGTTTTGGAATCCACAGAGGACCTGGGTCCAAAAACCTGCAGGCACTAAAGGACAACTACATTGAAAAAGTAAATAATCATTACATTACTGGCATGAAACTCAGGAGATTTTGGTGGGAAGTCTGGGGAGAAAAGTCTGGGACTTGCGGGGAAATCTTAAGAAGGAAAAGAAAATTCATTGCTAACATCAAATTTTGTTGCAAAGAGTAGCCAAACCAATGACACAGACTTACAGATTCAGTCCCCTTCTTTAAAAGACTATGTAGGGCTATACTGCCCAATATAGCAGCCACTAGCTATATGTGGCATTTAAATATTTAATTAAAATTAAAAACTTAAAAATTCATCTCCTCAATCACACTAGACACAATGTGGCTGGCCAATGTGGCTAGTGGCTTCTGTACTGGAAAGCACAGTCATATATTATTTCCATCATTACAGAAAATCTTATTAGCACTGGAGAGAGATCCAAGTTAATGTGATGATGATCTTATGGTTAATAAGGAAAGACAGAAAAGTAGGGACAGGAGTCAGTTAAAGGCACAAAAAAATCAGAAAAGAGTTTTGAAAAGAGAAAAAAGATAATGGTCAGAACTACCTTATGCATCTCAGTAAGCTGAGGAGTATAAAAACGAAGCAAAGTACCTGGATTTAGTCAAACTCTATAGAGGGGCAGAAGCTACTCTGCAAGTGGCAAGACAGTGGGAACGAACTTGAAGTAAAGGCAGTAAGGAAAGATTAGAAATGACATATAAGTAATTATAAGAGAGAAGGGTGTATGGTTTGCAGGAACACTAAAAAGGTTCTATAAAATGTTATATGTATGTGAAAGAAGATTTAAACAAACAAACTGCACCAAAAGAAAAAAAGTAATGTGTGCATACTTTTACCTCATGTTAATTAAGCCAGGTAAATATCAATCAGAATTCTGCAAGGATTTTATTTCTGAACTTAGAAAATTAAAGAACACATGGTCAAAATGATCAATAATATAAAAGAAAATTCTGAAGAAAAAAGAGGTTTCYAGAATGAATAATATGGCCCAAGACATTGCATTTTATACTTTCCTCCCATCATCTTGTGAAAGGGTGAAACCAAGGTGACTTGTAAAAGTCACCAACATTGTGGAAAATGTCAAGAGAAACTCACTTGAAGCATAAATACTCATGTGACACAGAGAATAGAGTAACTAACACAGAGCCTGAACCTGTGAACTGCATTTGGTTGAAGGGAATCTCACAGGGAGAATGATACATGGAAGGATTTCCCTGTCATTCTGAATCTGTCTAGGCACTACAACTAAGAATCAGCATTAGAGCTGCTCCTTAATATTTTTCTTTTTAAACAAATAAAATACAAAATTTTAAAAATCTACAAAGAAGATTCTTTCAAAATATCCTCCAAAACCACGACCATTGTTAGCTGATGTCAACATTTAATATCCTCCTAGAATTCTCTTTCCCTGTACAGACAAATATATACAATTTTTACATACATACTATTTACAACCTGCTTTTTCCTCCCATAAAACACTATAGATATCTCTCAGTGTCAGCATCAATAAAACTATCTCGTTCAAAGGCTGATTGAGCCATACTTCAGGTAATAAAACAACTAATAATAGATTTTTGCACTTGTATCCCCCAAACYCAGTTACTTACAAGCCAACAATCAGTTCTGCCCTCAATTTATGTAGTTCAGTTGTATTTAGTGTTTATAATTATGTGCTTAAATATTTAATTAATTGAGTGCTAAAAGAAAATTGTTTTAATGAAAACCGTTAAAAGCTTTAGAAAAATAGAGCAGAAGCAAGTTGCTTAAAACTTGTTTTTGAATTAGGTAAAAAATAAAATTGTAAATGCCTGATAAAAACTAACTCTACAAAAATTCTGTACCCACATCGGTTTGTGTTTTGCAATGGAAATCATACATGATGAGTGTAGTTTATATAAGAAAAATGAAAGCTGAATTCCAATCAACAGACCATATTCAAATAAAAAGCACTGGCACTATACCAAAAGGCTAATGAAGGAGCTTGAGTTGTAGCTCAGTGGTAGAGCAGATG